GCGTAGACCAAAATAAAGTATAAGCTTTCTTCAAGAACTTCCAAATCTTCGATTGATTTCCAGAATAGCAATGAATGAAACAATTAATTCCAAATATTTTTGACACTTCGTATACTGGTGCCAATAAACAATCTAAGCAAGTATTATCATCTTCGGTGTATATAAAACGAAAGAAGATTCGGTCTATATAATTCCAAGGTAAAAGTTCCATGTTTTCTATAACAACGCTTCAGTGTTATTAATGAACGAAAATTCTTAAAACGCTTCTCATCTTTTCTTTTATAACTAATTATACGTATAAGAAAGCAAACAGAGCAATCGATTCCCGATAAATAGCTTTTAATATCGACATTTATGAGACTATGTAAAACTCTTAATCCGACTCATTAAGATTCCCTAGAAAATTATTAGTAATTTCAGTCCTCGAAGCAGACATAAAAATCTCAATAAATTTATGAATTAATAGTGAAACTTTTATGAATAGGCAATTAGGTTTAAATTATGTTTAATTTTATAAGTACAGTACAATAAATGCTGATTGGATAGTAGACATGGTAAAGACGTCATCCTGCTGCACTGGGAACTCTGCAGTACCATAACTAGATTTTCATATACCCTGTGTAAGATTTTTTCCCCGAAAAAACAAATACTATAGAAATGCTTGGTTAATTTTAATAATTTAGATAATAGCGAGGTTGAGGCCGAAGTTTTAAACACGAAAACGTGTACGTCGGGCACTGAATGCCCGACGTACACGTTTTGAAGTCTGACGATAGTGTTTGGATAGTCAGTGGAATCATGCTCGACATTCCAAACACCATTGTCAAACTTCTAGGCTTACAGGAAAGCGGCACTGAATGTCCGACGTACACGTTTTCGCGTTTAAAACTTCGGCCTCAACCTCGCTATTAAGTTTTTAACGCAATCTATAATTATTGATCTTCATTAGTCACGCTACCAAATTTTCAAAACTGTCATAGAAAAATGTAGTCACGCGTACACTTATTATACAGTGGAATTTCTATTATCTCTCGTCTATTCATATATATGCACATATTTTATAAAAACCCTAGATAAGTGAAATTCAACTATTAATTTCTCTTTATCCCAAAATAAGAGAATGGTGCGATAGTATTAAAAATAATAGTAAAAGTTTTAAGACTTGTATACAAAATTTTCCCTCAGAGAGAAAAATTATCATCAAATACAGATTTTCCATTAAACAAAATATTTGTTTCCGTTATAATCATATTATTCTTTCATTTATGTAGAATTTATTACCATTTTATTTTTTTAATATAAATTAAAATCTGGTGCGCGTGTTTTTTTCTCAAGTATCAATACAGTATAATAAAATTTTAATGTTTAATGTACCGTCTATTTAGATGCTAGAAGCGTATTTAGTTTAGTTTAATAAAAATTTTACTTTGTACATTCAGAAATATGGGACTAAAATGTTATTATGGTAAAATCAATGATATAAAATGTTCTCAGTGCCAACCGAAATTTTTGGGCGCATATTTGGTCTAGCGAGTAGACGATACTACAAAAAAACTAGATTTAACAATTTTCCGCTAAATTAGTAACTTCGCTTGCAAGTGTGAGGTTTGTCGACCAGAATGCCTGACGAGGGGTCGAGAGAGTCGTGTGTGGATGCGATCGGCACTGAGACAGACTCTACGATTATAAAAATCCGTTTATTTGACACGAAAGGGGCTTAAAGATTTCCGCGATCTTGGAAGCTCCTCTCCTTTTCAAAATAGTCCCAATCGAAGGAATGTCCATGGTTCGCAAATGAGTGTTCCTTCGACGTCTCCAAGGCGATGCTGTCGACTTCCGGTGATAAGATGATGTCGATCTGAGGAAGGGAGACGTAGACGATGACAAGAAATTGATCCTACACTCGTATTTTGACCCCATTCCATTGTCCTGACGCCGAAAACTCTCTTATTTCAGGATTTCCAGAAAAAATGTCCTGTATTTTGAAGAATCCAATTCTTTTTAAAAGAGCGCATATGCAAATATGTAAGCAAGCAACTGTTACCGTCCATTACTTGTTATTGTTAATAGAGGTGAGGTTGTATATAAAATTTTGGCATCATGCTACTTCTGGTCGATGGCACACATCACACTACCTAACAGTATGATATTGTTAAATTGTGGCCATCCTATTTTTATCTTAGTGATGTGGAAAGAAAGATGATGGAAACAGGAAAGACAGGGCAACAGATGCCCATAGTAGCTTCATTAAAATCTGGTCAGTTTATTTTCTTATTACTAAAACAGTTGATAGTATTTATTTATTGCATTTTTATTTATTACTCTACTCAATAAAATTGTATTCTATTAAAATGTAAGGTATGGGGCTCCATTATGGCTCACCATGTTTAGATTATTTTGACCAACTCCAATTTCCCCAAAGAACTGACTAAGCTATCACCTAGACCAGTGTTTTTTCAACCTTCTCGAATACGCGACCCCTTTACAAGCTAAAAAATTCTGGCGACCCCCCTAGGGCCATATTAAAACTATATCAGTGATCTTAAAAACTATGTATTTAATTTTCTTTCTGTTGAGACAAATTATTGTTTATTAAAATGAAAATTTCAGAAGAATCGACAATAATTTAACACACATAAAGTATGAAACTTCGTTTAATTATAACATTAGGCACAGGGAACTGTTGACCTTTTTTCTTTTTCTGTTTTTCTTTTTTCTTTTTTTTTTTAGGATCTGAATTTTCAGCTTTTACTTTTCTACTTTTTATTTCCTTTTGGAAATCAGCTCAACACTTTTTCCGCTATCATTTTCTGGGGTGGGCCGTAATTCTCGCTGAAATTGTAGCTTTTTTTAATGTAGTGTAGGACCTACAAACATTTGTCTTTTTCTTCTACCCGCGACCCCCCGTGTAAGGCTTTGCGACCCCAAGAGGGGTCGCGACCCACAGGTTGAAAAACACTGACCTAGACTATAGATCAAGGGTGGACAACCTATTTAAGTGATGTGCATATACAGGAACCAAGTTTTCTACGATTTATAGACAGCTGGATCGACCAGTTGATTGAACATGACCAAAGAGGTGGACTACACACAAATAAATAAATAAAATAAATCAGGAAACACAGAAAGAGCTGGTATATAATAAAACCTTATAATAATATAATTAGGTTTATTGTATATTATTTTACAGACTTAAATGTAATTTAAAAATGTCCACTGGTCGGATTAAACATATAGCGGGGACAATAGGTTGTCCACCACTACTCCAGATGGTTTAGTCATTTCTTGGAGAAGAAAATAGAATTTGTCAAAATAATAGTCAAAACTATGTGGACCTTAAAACTCGGTGAAGACGTTGGATATGCATTTTTTAAAGAGGCGTCCTGGGTTGCAAGCCGTTAAAGTAGTTGTTAGCGTGCTACAGTTACTGTAGCATGCGTGCTAAGGGTTGCTCACCTCTGGTCTAGGTAATCATCTAGGACAGGAGTGGCAAACCTGCAGCATGTGGAAGATATGATCTGGCACGTAACACATCATACAATTTCAGCTTATCGTGTCTTTTTTCAATCAGCTTCTTTATATTTATTCTAATTAAAGCATTTTTTCGTTTCATTTCGTTAAATATTGTTATTCAAAATCTAAAACTTGACACACAACATTTCAAAAGATAATTATGCTAACTACATGGCACGCAAACTTGAAAAGGTTCGCTATCTAGGTCTACTATCTAAAATAAAATAAATAAAGTAATAACAATATGAAACTAATAATGAATTAACAAAAGTATCATTTAAATGCCAAGCAGTCGACCCCCCTATAACACGGTACATACGTTCCGGTTTTTATGAATCCATTTTCTACGAGTCCTGCCAATCACAGCCCCGCATGTATGCAGTTTACGGACTACGGCTGTCTGAAAGGTTTCTTCCATAAAATTAATCGATTCTAGACTAGTTCGACTCAGCATTTCCAAAATACGTATAATTTTTGGGGAATAATCCATATAAACTATGCTATAAACAAAAAATTACTTACCGAGCGTGCACCGTTCGACTACGCCATTGCTTAATTAAGCTTGTTTTCGTCGTGGAGCTTGTCATCGAATGGCGCTCGCGTGCTTCCTGATAAATTATTTTTTTTGCGAAAAATTCGCTGAACTTTCGAAATATCATTAATATAAATATAATTTTTAAGGACGTTAAATAATAAATGGTTTTTAGTAGATCCACTGCTTGTTTAAACTCAACGGTTTGTGCAATATCCGCTATTGGTCTAGATTCGACCAATCCTGTCTCGACACGAGTCGGCGATGACGTTTTACCGAATTATAAGTGTTTTTTTAGCGTATTTGTACGAATACTATCGCAATTTTTTCGCCGTGATATAGGAATCCGAACTTTAGGAACCCGTGTTATGGGGTCGACTGTAGTAGATATTTAAAAATTTTTTTAACCTATTAGTACAATATTAAAACAGATTATTCCCAACTGTTTATGTGCTTTATTTTCGTTATTTGTACATGTAACTAATGCATATCCAACTTATATAACAATTATTGAAACTGTACAAAATTTTACATTCCTCTCATTTACATAAATTCACTTACAATTGGCTGATATTTTCCAATACACAGTCACTCTATACATACATATATATATATATAAATTTATATTAATACTTAAAAAAAATAATAATAGCATATCACTCTGCTTTTCAAACTTCAATTTTTATCTTTATGAAATAATTAAAATTTGAAAAAAATTAAATAAATTTCCAATCTGAATAGATTTGTCTGTGGAAATATGAAGTTCAGATTTTTATAAAAAGTTACTTTCTGGATATTAGTTTTTAAAGATGAAGCATTTCGAATTATTAAACTAAGCACCTGGGTTTAGTTAGAGAGTCCAGTGGCAAAAAACAGTTCCATAAAATAAAAAGGGTGTTTTAATTTGTTGATATCAAATTAAAATTAAAATAAGAGAAAAATCTTGTCAAGGCACTGGTAGTTGTATGTCATTTAACAATGCTCAAAACATATTTTACAACATAAGCAAAAACAGCAAAACCCATGATTACAAAGATGTTTGTAAGGGTGCTGCCCATTGCTGCAGGTGCCTGTTCTTGATATATTTGGTCTGGATTGTTCTGGTCCAAATCATTTTCTAAACGATTCACAAAACCATTTCTCCTCATTAATCTTTCAGCACTAGTCTTTATTTCCTAGAGGAAAAATTGTCAAATTTTTACTCATTTTATTTTATTTTTCATGTTAAGTTTTAATATAATATAAGCATACCTCAACTACTTCCGGAAACATTTCACAGAAAGTTGGATCTTTTAAATTAAAATCTAAACTTTGCAAAGCCAATTGTCTTTTCTACAAAAAACAATTAAATAATTAATACTATAAATTTCAAGTATTCTTAAAAATGAATTTTAAAAAGTGAAATGTTTAACATACAAATTAATTTTATAGAAAAACAATTCATCTTACTTCAAAATCTGATGTCTCTATACTTCCTAATGTAGGATTTTTTTCAACCTATTTAATACAATTATATTTGAATTAGTCAATTATTAAAAATTGTATTAAATATAGGAGAATATAGAACAAAATAGAAAATACCATAAAACTTAACAAGCCAGTTAAAATTGTTGAAACAGACCAGGCAGGATTCCAGGTATCTGGATGGAAGTCACTAATGCTTAAACATAGCCTTGTATTACACTTGAACCGACCATTTGGTGTAATCATGTAAATACTGGGTGGCTTAAAAGGAAATTCACTGGGAAATACTAATTTCCCATGATAAAAACCACCTAATAAACACAAAAATTTGTTTTCATAATCCAGTTGTCATAAAGAAAATAAATAATTTCTCATCCAAATTAACAAATAAATCGCATACAATTAACTATTTAGTTATTTTATGATTTATTCGTACAACTTTGTGTCATATTGGATCTTATAAAAAAAATTTCATTTATTCAAAACTTAAAATTAAACTACATTACTTTCTTTTAATTTAACTTCTACACAAAATTTTCAACAAATTCACATAACGTTATTGTAGGATAATTTAACTTTTAGTTGAAGAATAAGTAATTAACAACAGAAATAGATTCTTTGCAATTAAATAAATGCTACAACTATTTTCTGAAAAGTATTACTTTATACTTCAGAAAATGTACAATTAAAAGACCTCAACTAATTTTGCGAAGTAGATACACTCAAAATGATTTATAATTATTCCTATAATTCCAGAAATATATTGTTTTCTTCCAAGATTCAAAAAATATATTCATTTAATTACGTTAACTCTTCAGAAAAAAATTCTTTAAGTTCAAAATCAAAAAGTTTACATTTTACTTTCCTAGCTTGTTATGCATACATGGAAAACTATTGGAATTGTGTCAAATTTGACCCTCTTGGTTTTTGCATATCTTGACATTTTGAGATCAAACCCAAAAATTAAACCATTTATTAAAAAATGTTGCTTTGTTGTAAAGGTGCTGATCAATCAGGAACATGTTACTTTTTTGTACAGTGTTCATAATTTGGACAAAGCAATGCACAATAAGTTGTACTCTTTTTGAATGAATTCTTTTCAATATTATCAAAAGCAAAAAGTTATGTCATGATTATATTAATTAAATTATCAACAACCGTGAGGCAGATAATAGTGAGGGCTTATCAGACCAATGATGGGCACAAACGCTCAAGGATCAAAGTGAAAACAATTTAATAAACACAAAAAGTTACTATATAAGTGTGAAAACATTTTCACACTTATCTAGTCATTTTTTGTGTTTATTAAATTGTTTTCACTTTGTGCCCATCACTGGTCTGATAAGACCTCACTATTATCTGCCTCACGGTTGTTGATAATTTAATTAATATAATTATATCAAGGGCCAGAAGCAACTTTTGTAATAATTTCATTATGTCATGATTGTTTAAAGCCAATATAAAGTATAATTACAAATACAAACTGTTATCTTAGAATGGATATTGGAACTTTAATATTGATCATTACTGTAATCTAATTTATATTTAATAAATAAAACCAAATTAAAATATTGAATTTTTTTTCTTTTACTATACATTTATAATGAAAACTATATTTTACACTCAGAAAAAAAAAAAATGCATGTATCAAGGTAATTTATCAATTGGTTACGGATTACAAAAATTTCTATTTTCATCAATTCATTCTATTAAACATGTAAACAATGAGAAATGATTGTGTTAATCTGATTGTTCAAAAGCAATAAATAAAACACTATATTTATTAAAAATATTATATTTTTGATTGTAATCAAGATTTACAACTTAATTAATTATTGGCAAAAAGTGCCTTAAAAAACAAATTATGATGAAATTTTTTTAAAAATCCAGCAACAAGTTGTATAACTTGCCTGACAAAAAATACAAGGCACATTAGCACAAAATTAAAATTGTGTTTGGCACATCTGTTACAAGATTTTATTTTAAAAATTTTTTATATTATTAATTATTATATAATGGTAAAATGATTAATTTTGAAGATAGAGATGAATTTTATAAAAAAAATTGTAAATGTTAATAAACTGTAAAACCTTTATTAAGTCTGACCTCACTTCGGATATAACACAACCTCCTTTATCTCCCTGTCCCTGTGACCTTTAACTACTAAAATTTATCATCATCAATGTCCCTTATACACAAGCTACCATGCCAAATTTTGTTTCTTAACCATCACCCCAACCTGATATTAAACAAAATAGATGCCCCACACACAAACACATGAACTTCCCCACTTTTTTTGACTTTTTTGAATTCAGGGAATCTTAAACATCAAGATTTGTAAACATCTGAAGGATCAAATTTGACATGAATCCAATACGTTTCCATTTTATATACATAACAAGCCAGGAAAGTAAAAGAAGACTCTATAACAGAACTGAATTTCTGGAACTTATTTTTATCAATGATTTATTTAAATTGTTTTAATAACTAGTAACGGTAACACTTATTTTACTCTATTAAGTTATTAATTTGCATTATTAGGAAAAAAAAAAATTAAGTTTAAAAAGTTAATTTAAATAAATTATAATTTCTTAATTAAAATTTTAAAATCTAAACTAATCCTTTTAATTTTAAAAACTTTCTTACCTTCATAAGGTGTTCCTTCTGGTCCTCTGACAACAAAATGCCTTAAAAATAAAAAATTAAAATTTAATAATAATAATAATAATAGTTCATGTAGATAGTAATTATTATTATTAATTTATAACCTCAAGTAATCATACAAACCAAGTAATATCATTTTATAGTTATCTGCAAATTATTTACTTTATTGAATTTAATTGTATATATTGATATTTACTTAATTTATGTAATCTTAATGAATCCTTATTTACATACAGTGTTATGCTTTCAAGATATTAATTCATTGAATCATATTAAAAACAGCTGTAGTATAACTCTTATATAAATCCCACATAATAAATATATCATTTGAATACTTATATATAAGTTCACTGATGCATAATATTAAAAATACAGTAGTCAATCTGTATTTTAATAATTTAAATTATACATAAAAATACATTTTTGTGTATAATTTAAATTATGATAAACAAAATTAGTTTAAAATTTTAATTGTATACTACCAATTGAATGTTAAAAAGAAAAAAAACTTTGATTGTTGTACCCCCTTGTAACTGGTTTAACACACAATACATAAACAAATGGTTTGGTTTAGTTTATTAATTTAAATATATAACATTTCCATTAACAACAAATTCTTTCTCATTAAGAGATTATTTAACAATTAATAACTTTTTGAAATTAATAATTTAAATTTATGAAATTTTAATTTGAATTATGGTATTCTTAAAAAAATTAAATAACATATTTTGATTTAATTTTAATATGTAGTTGGTTAGTCATTAGTTATTGAAAAAGACAAGTAATATATTTCTTTTAAAGGCATTTTAAAGTTATTATTAAATTTATTTGTTAACAAATTTAACAGTAACAATGCTTTCAGCTTTAAAAATATTCCCAGTATTCAATATATTTGACAATAATTGTAAATATCTTTTATATTGTTATTCAGCTTTCATTTTTACATTAACTTTTGGCATCTATTTTAACCTATTATTACATCTATTTAAATTTTCAAAATATTTTTGCCAATTTTTAAGATTCAAGTTATGAAAGAAATCATCTATTTTACTGTCAAAAACAAACTTCATACTTTTTAAAAATTTATACACACATCTGTAAGCTTCAGTCATTTTTATCCTTTTAATTTTTAGATTTTCCAAATTTAAATAACCAAATACAGTGGAATCTATTTATCATGATTACTTTGTGACTTGTAACTTTTGATAACAATAATCAGATGACAAGATTAAACATAGAATAAAAAAATTTTCATTATTGAATATCAATTTATTACAATTACTGTATGAATGTGTACAATTTATTTGTCACAAACTGTACACTTACTACATTACATATTTATATATGCTACATTTCTTATAAACTGTTTTTAACTCAACAGATCACAGAATTAAACTAGAGAAATCACAACAGTAATGATCATTCCCAAAGGTACATTTCAAGTAATCATCTTCAAGTACATGTAATGTATTTTCTAAAAATTCTTGTCATGTCCTTAATATGTAAAATATAAAACGTATGCTTTGTTAAAAGTAAGTTTAGAAGAAAAGGTCTATTTAGTAAAAATTTACTAAAGCTGTGGTCGCACCTTGTGATTTCCAGCTGCACAGGCTGTTCTTGTTAACTAATAAACTCCTTCGAAAACTGGCGCAACTGCAACTACAAACAAAAAGTTTGTTCTGCTTGTACTGATTTCAAATGTGCATAATGCCTTTGTGCCATGTCATACAGTGGCAGTATTGAAAATAACAAAGTGTCAACAAAAGATGTTCTCCGGATAAAATAGAACTTTGAAGATATGTATCTTCTTTAGCTGTTATGGGGATAACCCCCATAAAATACTTTGGAAAGTATTCACATCCATACAGATATATCCCCAATAACCCAAATCCCCAACCCAATCAGCATCTGAAAGCCTTAATTCATTCATCAGTTGGTAGAAGCTTGATTGTTTAGTCTGTTGATTTTCATTTTGCCAAGTTTTAACCCAGCATGAACGTTTTCTCTTATTTTTCTCTTTGTGTATTCTTGCCAACCCTAAAAAATGATTGCCTTTTTTATTTTATTCATTGCAGAAAAGGAACTGCTTGCCATTTTAATAAGAAAAGTTCTGTAAATAGTCTGAAGTATAACTGTCAGTAAACTGATGAAAGTAGTCAGAAACAAGCTATTGTAATTTTATTGGTTTATTATAAGGTCACATGTTTATGAGTTGCAATGCAAATGAATAATGTGACCATGACAAGATGCATGAAACTCGTGCTTGTTGCAGTTTCAGTAGCCCAAGCGGCTGAAAATTGCTAGGTGTGACCACTGCTTAAGAATTCTACTGGTGTGTGCTTAAAGATAATTATCACAATTGATAACAATAGCTGAAGTTTGATTATAATAGGCAGATAATTTTTAACTAATTTTATGTAGAGTGTTTTGAGACCAACTGATTACATTAACAATAGTGGATTGATAACATTATCCATGATTACAATAACCAGATTCCACTGTATATTAAAAACCATCAGATATATGTAAAACAAATAAATTTATAAATATTTTTCATCTATATTTGTCATATATTAAAATTACAGTATTCAAATTCAATAATTTAAGTTTTTTTTCTTTTTACATTTTTGTATGTCTATCAAAAGATTATCTACATCAGTGTTTCTCAACGGGGGTGATATCGCTCCCATGTGGGCGTTTTTACATGTTGAGGGGCGATTAGTAACAATTTATATTTTGGGGGGCAAAAAACATTATATTAACAATAATTAGATATTTTATTCGTTATATTGTACAATAATTAAACAAATAACATTATACTAGTCACTAGTCTATTCAATGCAGTACAAATTTGGCGTTAGCCTTGGCCCTCGGCATCGGAGTTTTGAAGTGAAGGGGCGATACTACGTAACGGTTTTATTGAAGGGGACAACAATTCGTTAGAGGTTGAGAAACATTGATCTACATGTTTGAAATTCTCTTAATACACTGTACTGTACATAATATAAAATATTAATGGTTTTTATAAATACACAGAATAAAATATATTACTAGTAAATTGTTTTTAAGAACTCTAAAGATGAAAGAAATTTTACAAATATTTATATTAAAACTAAATAGATGGAATTATTTCTCATTTCTTAAGTCCAAATAAAAATTATGATTTATAGGCTTAATACTGAGCAATGAATTAGGATATTTTTTATATTTTTGCATTCCAGTTAAAATACTTATAATAAATTAATGAAAAGAATCATTTTGATTTAATATAACTTTTATTTTCTTAATTTTTTCTATCATCATTTAGAAACCACTCTTCATTTAATGCAGCATGTTCATTCAACTTTATACGCTAATTTATTTTAACTGTTCAAATATGTGTGTAAGTTTTGTACATCAAATGCAGAAATACTAGATTAAAGATTAATTTTGGTTGGATATTTCACTATTTCTTTTAAATATTCTGGATTAAACTCTTTAGATCTTTTGACATATTTAATTCATTCATTCATTCATTGAGAAATTCTATTGTAGATTCATTCATAATGCAAATCTGAAGAATTTGAAAAATGAAATTTATTATCAATATTACCAAATATAATATTTAAATCAATTTATATTTTTTATCAAATCAAATCCAATAATAATGCAAAACTATAATAAACATTTATATAGAAAAAAATCAATTACATTTGTCCAATTATATTGTCTTTTCTTAATGATCATCTGCCTCCAATTATTCCAATTAATTTTCCTTCACAACAGCTTTTTTCTTTTTTTTTTAAATGTCAATAAACTCTTCAACAATTATACCAAAATATTTCTGTTTTATTGTCTTAAATACACAAAAATTCCATGTTCTTCCAAACATTGCTTTCAATAATCTAATTGTTTTTCATTCCAAAGAGCCAATATTTTAATTTTACTATCATCCCAATCAGAAGCATTTCAAATTCTTTCATAATTCTGTACATTTTGTTGTTATAATTAGAATATCCTTCTCAAGTTTTTTCTTTACTCTAATAACAGTCTGCTGTAAAACATGCAATTTTTGCAATTTCAATCTTTTTAAAATTATAGGTCTCACCATAGCACTTGAATTTTCATTTTTCTTTGGGCTAGGAACTGCTATCTTTCCTTTTTTATTTCTATAATTTAAACATAACAATGTTTTCAGGACAATTAAAGTAATATTATAAATTCATATATTTCAAAATGTCATTTCTGAAGTATTAAAAAAATATATTAAATTACTAACTAACTGCTACTAAAAAAAATACATATATTTTTCTGAATATTTCTAAAAATTGATGAATATATGTCTGGTTTTATTAGTATACAGCAATGTGACATATGGACAATATATATAGTACTAGATTAATACAGTAGATATGCTCCTTGAAAACAGTATGTTAAGTGAAAGCACATTAATGTATATATAATTATTATTACATATATTTCCTAGGAAATTTAGATTTTCATTTCATTTTATGTGTGTTTGTGGACCCAATCTATATATTTGATATTCCTTTGACTCATGTTATTTATTCAATTCAAAGGTAGACAAGTCAAAACTTAATCATTGCACAAGTACTACTGTCTGGAAACACTTTCAAATCCTCATCATCTGAGGCTGAATGATTAATATTATCAAGCATTTGCATTTATGATGATTTTAACTCTTTATGAATGACTTTGAGTCGTAAATGAAGCAGCATAAGTGACCATTTTATGTTATAATATATGAGGGCAAGGTGAAAAGTTCAAGGTGAAATTAGTGAAAAAATGAGTTTTTTATTTTAAAAATGCATTTATTTCTCAATGTAGTCTCCCTTTAGTTCAATACACTTTGTCCAATATTTCTCCAAAACAGTATTCCATCCCTGAAGTGCGATTCTGGAAGGTCTTCAAAATATTCATTTACCACTCCTATCACCTCTTCACTTGACCCAAAATGTTTTCCTGCCAAAATTTTTTTTAAGATTTGGGAATAAATGAAATTCAGAGGGAGCCAAATCTGGCAAATAGGGAGGATGTTCCAATAATTCATACTTCAAATCCCTCAATTTTCCCATTGCCAAAGCACCTTTATGAGTGGTTGCATTGTCCTGGTGAAAGAAGATTTTTTTCTTTTGCAAACCAGGCCTTTTCTCTCTAATTTTTTCATCTAGCTGGTCACGAAGAAGTGCGTAGTATTCCCCATTAATTGTTTGACCCTTTGACAGGTAGTCAATTAAAAGAATTCCTTTGGAATCCCAAAAAACACTAGCCATAACCTTTCCAGCCGATGCAATTGTCTTTGCTTTCTTCGGTGCAGAGCCACCAGCTTCTACCCACTGCTTGGACTGTTGTTTTGACTCAGGTAAAGTGGTGAACCCATGTTTCATCCATTGTAACAAATCTGCACAGAAAATCAGTTGGATCCTTCTTAAAACGGCGCAAACATTG